CAGACACTTTCTGGGCCTGGTAGACTTAAAGGAAAAAAAAATGTGCATGCAGCATAAAATGTGTAACAGTATTTCATTTCATAAAGGCCACAAACTAAAGCATTTGCATTTTTATTCTGTTTCTTTTGCATTTTCAGTGACTTTCTTCCTTTCTTTGACTGTATTTCGCTGCGTGGCATCATTTATTGTCTTTCAAATCACAATCATATGAGAGTGCTTTGAACACGTCTTCCATTAGCCTGCTGTTTTTAGCTGTGACGTAGACACTCACACAGTAAAGGCTCCAATTAATGGCACATTTCCATATTGATTGGGTCGCTTGGTGCTTTTTAAATCAATGAGTGGACAGACAGGGGACTGTTCTGTAGTGACCAGTGTGCAGATATAACGTGGAAAGGAGAGAGATGGACTGACAGAGAGAGAGAGAGAGAGAGAGAGAGAGAGAGAGAGAGAGAGGGTGAAGGGAGGGAGTAAAGAGGGAGTGCATACTGTATGAAATAAAAACATTGTCGCACACTTGTGGAGTTGATTTTGACAGAGTCTGGAAGCAATTCCTCCAGCAAGACTGGGAAAAGGAAGAGAAGAAGGAGCTGCCAAGATCTAAATCCACTCCTAATCCACACGAATACATGTCTACTAGCGCTAACAGTCTTTCACGCTGTACGGGTGTGTATGTGTGTGAAAGATACGAGACAAACAACAGTTGGTTTGACTCAATTTTCCTTTTAGCACAAATGTGGTTGATCAGTCGAGTCATGCTCAGTGTCCAAAGTCTGCCTCTGGAGATTTGACTGGAGCTACGAGGTTACTGTAGCTAACGGGTAACACAGTGAAGAGGAGGAGAGAACAAGGAAAAAGAGAAGCTAAAATAGAGTGAACTCAATCCCAAACTCTCACTCCACACTCCTCCACCTAATCCCTTCTTCCGGCTCCCTCATCTGCTCTCCTTATCCATTCTAAAATGCATCTACGCCTCCGTTATCACCACATCCATCAATCTGTCTATCCTTTCCACTCCTACTACAGGAAATCACGTCTCTCTCTTTATCAGCTACTTTTCTGCTTCCCTTCTATCCTTTCATCTCTCAGTTCAACACTGTACTTTCCTCACACAGCACAACATTTGTGGTCAAAGTGTGTGTGAGTGTGTGAGAGAGAGAGTAGAGAGAAATAGGGAGAGATAAAGGGAGGGAAGGAATGAAGGAAAAAGAAAAAGTAAGACAGAGAAGAGAGAATGAATGAAAGAAGGAAAATGGAGAGAGGGAGGTAAAAGAAGGTGAAGAAAGAAAGAAAGAAAGAAAGAAAGAAAGAAAAAGAACAAAAAGGGAGAAGGAGAGAGGAAAGAGAGTAAGACAGAATGAAAGAGAAGGGAAAGAAAGAAAGATGGGGCAGAGAGAGAAAATTAGGGAAAGAGAAGGTAAAAGAGAATTGAAAAGAAGGGCAAGAAAGGAGAGTGAAGAGAGAGTGACAGAGAAGAGAAAGTAAGAGAGAAATAGAAAGATAACAATAGAGAGAAAAAGTGAAACAAAACAGTGAGTGGGTTTTGAGGTGTCCTGTGTAAAACTATGAGGGGCCATTTAGGGTAAAGTACACTGAAACATTTGCACACGCACACTACTTGCACACACCACTGACACACTCGCGCACGCCACTGAAACATACCCTTGAAACACTCGCGCACAACACTGAAACATGCCATTGAAACACTCGCACACGCCACTGAAACACGCCATTGAAACACTCGCATAAGCCACGGAAACATACCCTTGAAAGACTCGCGCACGCCACTGAAACACTTGCGCACGCCACTGACACATACCCTTGAAAGACTCGCGCACGCCACTGAAACATGCCATTGAAACACTTGGGACATGCGCACACTACTTGCACACACCACTGACACACACCCACACACCCACTCCACTGAAACACTCGCACACGCTACAGACACACTCACACACACCGGTGAAACACTCGGACATGCGCACACTACTTGCACACACCACTGAAACACTTGTACACACTCACACACGCCACTGAAACACTTGCACACACCACTGAAACACTTGTACACACTCGCACACGCCACTGAAACATTCACACACCCCACTAAAACACTCGCACACCCCACTGAAACACTCACACACCCCACTGAAACACTCGCACACGCCACAAACACTAGCACATGCCATTGACACACACACACACACACCACTGACACACTCGCACACACCACTGAAACATTCACACCAGGATTTGTTGTTTAGCCTGTGAGATTGTTTCTTCCTTGCGCTTGTACCAGTGTTTCAGTGTATTTTACCCTAATCGGCCCCCAGTAAGAAACCATTTCTACCTCTCATTATACTTCAGGCTCGCTGGTAGGTTTGTTCTTCTTGTTCACATCCTGCTTGTTCATATCTCTTTCTCTTTCTCTAGGGAAATGAAGTGTGTGGGAGGAGAGAAATGGAGAAATTCGATCACTCACAGCTCTGTGGAGCGAGGAGGAGAAGTTCAGCTGTAAAAACTGATGAAGTGTCACTTTGAGTTTGATGCGTGCTGACGAGGTACAAGCCACTAACAGAAAATCAGACCCGTTCTTTGAAAAAACACCACTGAATTAGACAGAGAACAGTTTTTCCTTATGGAGCCAGAAAGAATTCTTTAAAAAGAAACCACAGAAGAACCACATTTGGTTCCCTAAAATCTCCCAGTGAATGATTTGATACAGAATCTTTATTGTAAATAAGATGAGAGAGTGCAAAGAACCTGTTTCAAGGATTAAAAAGGAATCATCACTTAATATAAAGGTTCTATAGAGATTCCAGGCATTTCCTAGAACCGTACATCTAAGCCCCAACTCTTAAAAAAATAAAGGCTCCTAAAAATATACATAAAACTGTAAAACTGTAAAATGTAGTCCTGCTAAATATAAGCTGCAGTGAGTCACTGTTAACTTTTCTGTTAGACACTGGCGCCCTCTAGTGGACCAAATGCACTTGGTTTTTCTTCTGTTTTGTATTCAACAGGGAAATGAAATTACATTTTAAAGTACTTTAAGCACAAATCACTATACATGTGTACATTAGTGTTCAAAAGTTTAGAGCCTCTGTTTTCAATTATTTAAAACTAATGCAGATAGATGTATGAAATGATTCTATTACGCTGGTTAATGCTAGTCAGTTAGTGGGAAACAAAAAAGAAGACTAAAACTTCTAAACGACTGAGAAAGCTGTAAAGCATCAAGAATAAAATCACAATTAATAAATGACTATACAGAATACCTTGTAATTCAAGTGGTGATCTTAAGGCCAATAACATGACAAAATGTATAATAAATGCATAATTACAGAACATTATTTCTTATGAAACAACTAGTTGTTCCTAATTTGAAATACTGAATAAAACATTAAGTAATACCTGTTGGTATTTAGCTTGCTGTATTTAAATCTACACTGTAGTGCATATCACAAAAATGATTGACAAGAGATTTCACTCTTTTGAAGGGTAGTGTATAAACAGTTATAAAAACTGTTAGACAATTACTTGCACAAATAGTGGAGAAAATACAGTGCTTGTAAAGCAAGAAAATAAAAGAATCCAGAATGTAACAGAAAAAGAGCAAAGAAAGAAATACAATGAAAAATGGAAAAAAAATAGTGAGTTCCTGAGTTCCACATTATTTTCTCACGTCTGTATAATATACTAAAAAAGGCAAAAGTGGAACGTCAGCGACCGCGAGGAAGAAGTGGAACTTGAGGAACTGCGAGGAAGAAGAGGAACTTCGGCAACTCTGAGGAAGAAAAAGCAGAACGTAAGGAACTGCGAGGAAGAAATGGAACTTCAGGAACTGCGAGGAAGAAACGGAACTTCAGGAACTGCGAGGAAGAAGCGGAACTTCAGGAACTGCGAGGAAGAAGCGGAACTTCACGAAGGGTGAGAAAGAAGTGGACCTTCAGGAACCGTGAGGAAGGAGCGGACCTTCAGCAACTGTGAGGAAGAAGTAGAACTTCAGGAACTGAAAGGAAGAAGAGGAACTTCAACTCTGAGGAAGAAGAAGTGGAACGTCGGGAACTGCGAAGAAGAAGCGGAATGTCAGGAACTGCGAGGAAGAAGCGGGACGTCAGGAAGGGTGTGGAAGAAGTGGACCTTCAGGAACCGTGAGGAAGGAGCGGACCTTCAGCAACCGTGAGGAAGAAGTGGAACTTCAGGAACTGCGAGGAAGAAGAGGAACTTCAACTCTGAGGAAGAATTGGAACGTCAGGAACTGCGAAGAAGAAACGGAATGTCTGGAACTGCAAGAAAGAAGCGGACCTTCAGGAAGGGTGAGAAAGAAGTGGGCCTTCAGGAACCGTGAGGAAGGAGCGGACCTTCAGCAACTGTGATTAAGAAGTGGAACTTCAGGAACTGTGAGGAAGAAGAGGAACTTCAACTCTGAGGAAGAAGAAGTGGAATGTCAGGAACTGCGAAGAAGAACCGGAACGTCAGGAACTGCGAGGAAGAAGCGGGACGTCAGGAAGGGTGAGGAAGAAGAAGTGGAACGTCAGGAACCGTGAGGAAGAAGCGGACCTTCAGGAACCGTGAGGAAGAAGCGGACCTTCAGCAACCGTGAGGAAGAAGTGGAACTTCAGGAACTGCGAGGAAGAAGAAGTGGAACGTCAGGAACTGCAAAGAAGAAGTGGAACGTTAGTAACTGCGAGGAAGAAGGGGAACTTCAGGAACTGTGAGGAAGAAGCGGACCTTCAGGAAGGTTGAGGAAGAAGTGGACCTTCAGCAACCGTGAGGACGAAGTGGAACTTCAGGAACCGTGAGGACGAAGTGGAACTTCAGGAACTGTGAGGACGAAGTGGAACTTCAACTCTGAGGAAGAAGAAGCAGAACGTCAGGAACTGCGGAGAAGAAGCGGAACGTCAGGAACTGCGAAGAAGAAGCGGAATGTCAGGAACTGCAAGGAAGAAGCGGACCTTCAGGAACCGTGAAGAAGAAGTGGAACTTCAGGAACCATGAGGGAGAAGTGGAACTTCAGGAACCGTGAGGAAGAAGAGGAACTTCAGCAACCGTGAGGAAGAAGTGGACTAAGAAACGCACTTTCATTTTATTTCTAACCCTCCATTACTTCCATAATTTTAAATGCAAAGATGAAGGATTAAATATATAAGAGAACAAATTTTGGACTAAAAATGTAAATAACCAGTGTACAGATAAAATATTTAGATATTATTTTAGATCTTCAAAAGTTGATCCAAAGGGTCTAGTTGCAGGGTTACTGTAGTTAGAACATGTGCCACTAGGTGGAGGCAAAGATCTATCAAATAAATACAGAGCAGCTTCAGTCTTTGCACATCTTTTTACTGTTTCTTATAGAAATAACACCAAATAGCTTCACAGGAAAACAGAATCACATCACTGGTTCATTACCATGTCACTAATACCTGATATCGGCACTAAAACAGAGTGGGGAAAAGATGAGAGATGCAAGGTAAAATACATGGTCAAATACACGTCCTTTGTTTGATTCCTTTTTAAATTAAATATAACATCATACCAGAATAAACCCTTCTAGACGTGAGAACGTCAGTAGTGATATAATGGTGGGTAAAGGCTAATGGGTAACTGAAAAGAGCATGTCTCTGTGTGATCACTCTTAATTTGAGTTTATGCTGCAGGTAGTGGCTGATTTGGGAGCTGAAATCTCTTTATAGGCTGTGCGTGTGCAGTGTGTGTGTGCGTGCTTGCTCATTCTGGCTCCTGAAGGAGGCTAAACACAATTAAGAAAATAGGAGTTTATTGAGTCTAAAATAAGCTGGCAGTCATCAGGAAGGAGAGCTGAGGAGAGTCAGGGAATCTCTGCTGTATGTATGTGTGTGCTTTATGCAGCTAGCAGGAGAACGAGAATGAGTCAGACAATAAGCTTTCATCAGCCTTTAGAGCAGCATGACGAGAGAACGGGGAATGAAACACACACAGGGTAACACAGTATTCAGGTTCGTTTATTGGGAGGGTACAGAACAGACAAGCTTCACAGCTCAAACACTGTGATTAAAACTCTAGAGGAAACACAGAGACCGAAGATTCTGTCTGCATGGGGTTTCCATGCTCTTCTGTAGTACTGTGGCTAAACGCTGCTGTGCTGCACACAGCCCAACCCAAACATATCACTCAGCATTTCATACTCCTTGTGTAACAGGGGGCATTTTTAATCACTTTCAACATCAGAATCTTAAAGATTTCATTCAGCCTTCCATCAACATACCATTCCAACAATGAGCTAAATATAAAGAGAGAGAGACAGACAGACAGACAGAGCAATGTAGAGACAGACATAGACATAGATAGAGTGCCAAAGGCAGACAAAGTCATAAAGACAGATAGATAGACACACAGACAGACCGACAGACAGACAAATCCATAAAGCCAGCCAGACAGACAGACAGACAGACAGACATAGATGGACAGAAAGACAGACAGACAGACAAGCAGTGACAGACAGATAAACCATAGATAGACAGACAGACAGATGGATAGACAGACAGACAGACAGATGGACAAAAAGACAGATAGACAGACAAGCAGTGACAGACAGATAAACCATAGATAGACAGACAGACAGATAGACAGACAGACAGAGAGATAGATAGATAGATAGACATACATACAGACAGACAGATAGCTAGATAGATAGCTAGATAGATAGCTAGCTAGCTAGCTAGATAGATAGATAGATAGATAGATAGATAGATAGATAGAGAATAAGGCAGACAGATGGATGGACCAACAGACATATACAGATAGACAAACAGACACACAAACAGACATGTAGAGACAGACAGATAGACAGACAAAGGTGTAAAGTAAGACAGGCAGCCAGACAGACAGATAAAGACAGATGGACAGATATATAGACAGAGAGACAGACAGATACATAGACAGACGGACAGACAAGCAGTGACAGAAAGATAAACCATAGATAGACAGACAGACAGACAGATAGATAGACAGATACATAGATAGATAGATATACAATCAAACAGACAGACAGAGAGATACTTTCACAGATTCTCCACGAGCTCCTAAACTCACTCTTGTTTAGATCAGCGCGCGCTCTTATCCTCTCCATTATTTCGGCATTATACCAGTGAATAAACGAGTTTCGCGCTGCGCGGCGCCGTTTCACATCAATAAAGGTAACAGGGCTCGCGCTCCTCACAAGAGCACAGAGGATAATAATCAGAATGGCAATAATAAACAGGCGTGAAGGTGTGGGGTGGGCGGAGCCTGATTACAGTGGAGGGGTTTACTGCAGCCGATAGTCTATGTTCATGAGTGTGTGTGTGCGCGCGCGTGTGTACTTAATTCATTTTGGGGGCCAAAAGTTTCCGGGTACCGGTCATCATGAACAGTGAGTCGTTTATAAAAGTAAGAGCCCAAAAGCTACAGCGCATCAGTGTTTACACTCAGCCGCGCAGAGAGCAATTAAATCCCCACAAAGACACGAATACAAACTAGTATATGCGCATATGTGCGCGCGCGTGTGTATGAGAGAGAGAGAGAGAAACGAGAGAGTCTAAGGGGGGTCCTCGCGGGCTGGGCTGGGGTGTGTAGGGGGTGGGGGTGTGAGGGGGTATTAAAACGTGTGCGCGCGTGAGAACCTTGCTGCCAGTCTGCACGCGCTTCCGAGGAGAGTTTTGCGCTCCGGATCGCGCGTGTCTGACCGTGCAGAGTGAGAATGGGGGATCCGTTTTCCCCCTCTAACTCTCCCGCCCACACTCACGTGCACTGAGCGGACTCTCTCCTTTTCTCTCGGCCCCTGCGCGTGCTGCGGACATGCTGCGCGCCCACGCTCTTTCCCTAGCACCCGCGGAGACCGCGCGCCCCCGCTGACACCGGGAGTTTGCCGCGCGCCTCCAGCACTCACACCGGACAAGAAGGTTGGAGAAGAAGCGAGTGGAGATTGCGCGCGCGCGCCTGCCAGCCATGGGCTCGCGACTTGGCCGCTCGGGATACGGGATACAGTAACGGAAAAGGATCGGAGGCGACGAGAGCGGCGGACGGTGAACGGAGACGGCGCGAGAGCGAGGGAGGAGAGCGCGCCGGCGAAAATGCGCGCGGACCACGGCTTCATTATGCTGCTCCTCAACGGGACGGCGTGCCTGGTGAGCGCGAGAAGGGGCAATGTGGGGTGGGGTGGGAGTGGCGGGGCTATGGGGTGGGGGGCGGTTAGGGTGTAAGTGTTTGTTGGACTGTGAGTGATGTACCGGTGGCGCGCGCAACGGGACCAAAGAGGGACTTGCAGTGCCGCACAGAGGTCCCGCGTGAGAGCTAGTGTGAAGTGTAAGCGCGTGCGCCTGAGTGTCTGTGTGTGTGTGTGTGAGAGAGAGAGAGAGAGAGAGAGAGAGAGAGAGAGAGAGAGAGAGAGAGAGAGAGAGAGTGAGTGAGTGAGTGAGAGAAATTGAGAGAGAAAGAGAGAGAGAGAGAGAGAGTATATTGTCACTTTAACCGGTCAAATGAAAACAGTCGGATTCTACTGAACTTGACAGAGTGCTGACAGAGTCACATCACTGTCCATAAACTTTCGTCATTTAACGTTCATTTAAAAGACAGTTCTGACACCTGATCTCTTTAAAAAGGGTGATTTCTAACTGATGTGCAGTTAACTGATCATGCAGGTACTAATCACAGGTAGACTGATTGTAGACTATAGATCACAGGCATTTCTGCTGCACCTGCACCAGCATGTACATTGAAGCTGAGTGTGTATGCGGCCTGTAATCCCTCCTTACACTGTTCTGAGCTACTTAAAAAGACTGTATAAGACCACAGAATGAGTGTCGCTGTATAAGCTCAGTGCCTTTGGTGTAGTTCTCCTCTGGGCAGTGGAATAATTCATATGTCCTTAAAAACAGCCTGGTTTAATCCGCTTAATTCCTGCAGGACCGCTGAACACTCTCCTTCCAGCTGCACACACACTTCCACAGAGGACACCACAAAGGCTTCTGGAGCTTAATGAGGGGATGCAGGGAGATTTAGCGAAGAATGCACACCCCCCCCCCTTGCACTTTTGCCCCCCTGCCCACCTTTACCCGGCCCTCCCCCCCTTCCCCAGGGCTACTGCTGGTCTACACAGAAGGAGGGAAAATGAACAGCCGATGATGGATCTCCGTTTTGATCACACAGTGCCTACAAGTCATTAACAAAGAGCCGTATCTGCCAAGAATGAATGAATGAATGAATATCTAAATAAATAAATAAAGAAAGAAACAATAATAAAACTTGAAAATATACCTTAAATAAATAAGCTAAGTAATAGTAAATAAATAAATAAAATACATACATAAAGCTTAAAAAATATCCCAAGCAAATAAGTAATTTAACAGTCTAAATAAATAAAAAATAACCATGAATAACCTATAAATAGGTTACCTAAATAGCTCAAATAAACAAACAGACAAATAATGTAATAGTAAAAGATTTGGCACATATTTAATGCACCACTCTCCTGTTATCTGTATGTAATGAAACAGGCCTATAAGCCAAACCCCCTCATTGCTTTTCTAATAGACACAGACTACGCTTACAATCACGTTACATCAGCACAACACTGATACTGTAATTGGTCTAATTATCATACGGCTTGCGGTCATTAATTTGCCACCTCATTTAAACCTGAGGAGGAGGCCTGTGCGCCTCACTGGGGCATCATGGGTAATTTGTTAGTGTGTGACAGTGATGAACTATAGAGTAATTAATAAAATCTTTTCTTTTTTCATCATCTCACAGAGCCGCGATTAAAACACATACAGCATACATTAATAATTGGCCTTAATTTTCTGCAGGCTTAAGCGAGGCAAGATTTTCTGAAAGCTTTAAGCACATTTGGGAGCAGTTTGATCCCTGGTTAGCGCTTAGAGTTCAGAATATACGCTACAGTCCATGGTTTTAATGGCATTAGCAATTTAACCAAAAAAAAAAATAAAAATACGAAAAGAGAGCACTTCAGCAAAAAGGGCAATTCATCAATGATCAGACTGATCTGAATACAAGGGGCAGATTCACATCATTAAAAACAAACCAAAAAAAATAAAATCAATAAAAAAATTGTTACACAGAATAATCATAACTGAATGTACTATTTAAGGTATACTTGCTCCAGAAAAAGGGCCTCTGCTCCGTGATATTCTCCGCTGATCCCTGTGGTGTGCTTGTTAAAGCTTGTTTGGAAGACAATGTTTTGTCCTCGAACACAGTTAGAACCATTTCTCCCTCCTCCGTTTCCCCTTTTAATGATTTAAACAGGCTTTCCAGAACAGGGCAGTAGGCAGTCGACTGCGAATCGCAGGCAATTACTGCATTAAATTTGTTTATAGTGCTGATACTGGCGCGGCATCTCTCTCATTACCAGCTTATTAAATTAATTCACTTACAAGATGCAGCGTTCTCTGAGCCAGGCGCTCACCTACTGCAGAGTAATGGTGGAAAATAGACTAACCACCCGATCCAAATTGGACAAGTCTATGCAGGGCGCGCATGTGTGAGTGAGTGAGAGACAGACAGACAGACAGACAGGCAGACAGACAGAAACAGAGACAGAGAAAGAGAAAGAAAGACGAGGAGAGAGGGTGTAGCAGGAGATATATAGAGAGATAAGGAAAGAAAAAGAAAGGAGGACAAGATTAGACGAAGAGAAAAAAAAGAGAGGGGGGTAAAGGGAGATAAACAGAGAGAAAGAAAGAAAAAGAAAGAAAGGATGAGATAAAGACAGAGAGAGAGATAGAGAGGGGCATAGAAGGAGACAGATACATAGAGAGACAGAAAAAAGAAAGCATAAAAAAAAGAAAGATGAACAGGGAGGGAGAGAAAAAAGAAAGAAAGAAAGAGAGAGGAGAGGGAAAGAGAGGTTAAAGGGAGATAGAGAGAGAGAGATTTAAACTAAGCTGGTGTCTCACAAATTCATACAATATCATGAGATCTTAAGTTGAATCCATTCACACTGCTTGTCAAAAGTGCCTTGCTGTCTTAATTTTTGTTTCTTACTGTGATGTTTTAATTAAGTACACTGATTAAAAGAACCTGTGAAGATTTTACTAAGACTTTGATTGTATTTGGAGAAAAAACTAATACTTTGGTTGCATACGTTGAAAATCTTTTGGCACACAGGTGGTTTAAAGAGCTGAAGGGTTTGGGTGCTCATATGGCTCATAAGGGGATAAATGTGTGGGATGTGGCCCCTGAAAGCAGGAAAAACATTTAGCAAAAATTAAATTAAAAGTAATTTTAAGTACACAATATGTATTCTGTGTAAATCCCTTAATTGTCATTAATTTTGTATTATTTTACCCTCCCCCATTTTCTTTGTGATCTACGGCACTCACGGCAATCAAATCCCAGTCAAGTTATTCATTGTGACATGTTCCCTCTCATGTTTTGCTGCTATTATTTCCCAATCATTAAAGTATTTTTGAACAAATGTTGGGAACTGGGTGAACAGGCCAACAGACAGGCTTTAATTTTGGTCACTGTGGGAGTCACTGTGAAACTACAACATTCAAACACAAAATATACAAGTTTCTAATGTTTTAAATGTGTGTCTTGATGCTAGAGCTTGGAATAAAAGCTTGAATAAAATGTACATATACATTAGGAATCACAGAGAATCCCATAGGGGCAGTAGTAGAAATGAGCATTATACTAGTGGTGGTAATTGAGGAAAAAAAGCTTGGTTAGTCTTTAATATGTTAAGCTGCATACTGACAAAGAAAACATGGTCATATGTTATGAATTCATTCTGAAAAGGCTACGACTGCTGATGAGCAGTGTAAGTGTACTTTGTGTACTCACACACATGCTGACGCTGGCAGCAAAGAGAGTAATGAGTCCAAAAGTTGTGGTTAACCTTGTGATACAGAGGTTGAGCTATATGAAGTACAAAGTCAAAGGACATGTTTCTGTAAACATAAAGACTCTCAGAGGTTTTCTAACTAGTATGGCATCTGCAAAAGGGTGGCAGGCGCTGAGGCAAGGCGAACGATCATCTGCTACTAAGCTGAGATAAGCAGGGCTCGATTTGAAGGGAGGGGTATGAGAGGACGCCATACTCCAAGTCAAAAAAATGAGAAAAACTTGTAAGTGTAAATGTAATGCAGCCCTGTCTGACATAGAGCACGCTATAGACAACACAGCAAGATCTGATTCTTTACAAAGAAAAACAGGTATAATAACTGGCATTAACCAGTAAGCATGTTTGGCTTTAAAGGGGTGGCTGGAGTGGCCAGTGTCCACCCTAAAATCTAATTGGCTATCCCAAAATTTCTGCCATGTCACTGGCTTTCACCTCGCTGTGGGGTGGGGGCAAGTTTCGCTATCACCAGAACAAACCGCCAACCTCTCTCCAACTCAACCTCACCTCCCCACGGTCACTCATTTACACTGTGAGAACCTCTGTAAACATACTACCTGCCCTTATGAAATTTTCTAGATCCACCACTTCCAGTGAGAGAACTTTAAAGTTAATGGAACTGCAGATTAGCGTTCATTGTTTCCGATGACTATCTTAATGGTTAGTGAAATGAAAAGTAAAAATAACCTAAAAAGGCAGAACCGCCTGCTGCATCTCCAGAATGAGAACTGCCGCAGTGTTGCTCATATTATGGTGATTGGTGTTCACATCATGCCTGATTTTCTAAATGTTAGAAAAAAATTCTGAGGACGTGACTGACCTCAAAGCTAAGTGACAACAGAGAGAAGTATTCTTTAAAATCTGAGGTTCTTTTACATTTTGCGTGTATTTTCTTCAAATACACTTTGTAATAAGACAATGGTAATATAATGGATGAATGATCATTATAAAAGTGAAAGAGGTTATATTTTATTATATAGAACATACTTTGGTCTTTGATGACATATCTGAAAAGTGCCATCCTCCTCCATAAGGTCAGCTATCATAAGCTGTCTACAGCTTACTAGAACAGGGGTTCCCAACCTTTGCAACTCACAGCCCACACAACCAACTACAAAAGCTTACGCAGCCTACAACACTGAACCAACCTAATCATTTAAAGTGCCAACAAATACAACATAATCATACAACATAATATAGACCTCAAAAAATAAAAATAAATAAATAAAAACTAACTGTAGCCATTTATATCTGATGGATGAATACATTTGATAAAAAGGGAAACG